CGAACCAGCGACCATTAGGTTTTCAACCCGATCACAATCGGTTTTTACCCGACTATCATGTGAATTCCTGTTGCGTTACTACCGTTTGATCGTATTCACACTGGCTGCCTGATCAGGAATTCTTATCTCAATCCCAGGCTAACTGAATTAGAGATGGGGAGCATCATACTGACTTTTGTTTTGACTATCTGAGTTAGCCGTAGTTTAGCAGACTAGTATTTATACTGGGTGATAATTGAAGGTGAAATGAAAATGAAAGATGAGAAGTTTTGACTGGGCAGCCAGTGTGAATACAATCAAACGGTAGTAACATATCATGAATTCATATGGTAGTCGGGTAAAACATAGTGATTAAAGTGAAATAAATATCTAGTCAGCAGTCATATCTCGGAGCTCAATTGATAGAATATCAGGCCGGTAACACGATGGTCACTAGTTCGAATCCAATCCCTGTCCAAATTTCCATTTCACTTTCAATTATCATCAAGTGTCATGGATTACTGTCTGTAGTATCCAGAAGTTCATATGAATCCCTTTACTTGACTTGATCAATTGATATCTCCAGAAACCGTAAGTTTGTCAACATTAAAAGGTTATTTTTTAGACGAAAGCGGAAAACGTCGCATGAAAATTACGTTTCTAACCGTTTCTTTCCTTTTCATTTTTATAAAAGTGTTTTTGATTGGATCAGTTATAATATATTTTCAAATCTGGTGATGATGATTTGTTATCACAGTTTAATTGTTAAGTGATGTAATTTTAAGAATCTGAAGAGACTGACAGATTTGGTATTTGTAAAAATCCATTGCTTTTACATTCATTTACACGTTATACACAATAAGAAACCAAATCGGTTAATGCCATAATACTGGTGAACTCTGTAGAGCAGCTTAAAGCAAATTTGTAAGGATTATAAATTTAAACTATTTCTCTACATAAATACATAAACATTACGTAAACTTTTTCAATGTATAATAAAACAATTTTGTTTATAAATTATACTGTATTTCCTGCATGGTTAAACTGTACGGTTGTTTCCATAGAAACTTATTTCATTTCCGCTTATTTTATTGTTTTTAGTTTCTTTTTCCCATGATTAGTTGTGTTAGGAAATCTACAGCGCAGTTTGTTCCTATTTAAGTTATATGACAACTAAAACAGCTTCATTATTATCCTACGTGTGTCTACAGAGGCTTTTTTTTGCAGGACAGTTCTGTGTTCTTTTCACATCCTCAAAAGTATAAATTTTGTACTTTGACATAAGTTTGTAAAGTTATGCTTTGATACTCTGGTAGTGGTAATACTAAATGGGTTAATTTAAACCCATAAATGCCTCTCAGGTGTTTTTACAGTCATAAATGTACTATTCCTTAAAAAATGTTCAGTAAATCATGTTTACCGGAAACCAGTTTAGAATATTTTACCAAAATGGATTTTATTATTTCTTGTCAGCCACCTACTAAGTGTAGCTCTTACATATATAAAAGATGTATCTGACTTTAGTTAAGATCTTTCATAACCAGTGAAGTCAGCGTTTCTGCTCCTAGACGTTGGTAAACAAGTCAAGCCCACTGAAGATACTTCATTAGAGCCACTTGATGGGACCACCGTGTGACCATTCTTAAGGTCAGGCGAAGGATATTCAGCAAAACAGGCAAGTCGATTAATAGGGTTGTGAACCTTTATTTATTGAGATGGCTTGGATGTGTATTGCGTATGGCAAGTCACTGCCTTCCTCAATATGCAGTTCTAGGGTAAGTTATATTAGGTTGGAAGAGGGTTCAGAGTGGGTATACTGAAATCTGACACCAGTGCAGGAAGTCTCTTATTGTTGCTCTGGGCCGTATGAGGAGATGTAGGCTGTCTGGTTGAGGACTCTTAATGACACGGCTGAAAATCCATCACAGTCTCGCAGATGTATTCACTCTTTGATATCTTCTAAAGCTTGACAATTGACACTAACTTTTATCTTCAAATTGTCTACTTGGAAATCACCTTGTTTCTATTCACCTCTTACTTGCAGACTACTATAATGAATGGTAACTGGAACCGAAGAACTCGTATGTGAGGTACTACGTTGGTTTTGTCTATCTGGTGTTATTCTTTGACATTTCATAATTAGTCCATGTGGTTACACAAATTTTTATTAGTCTAACTTAGTCATTTGATGCTTTTTCTCCGGATTCACTGTTGTTAGACTTAACCATTCTATGAAGCTTGGTGACATTATTAAGGATTAGCTTTTCATTTCATTTAAAACTCATTGACTGGGTGTATGCACTTTCTAATGAGCAGTTGTGTTACCAATTACAATCGAAGTGAATATCTTTAACTTCCAATAATAGGGGCAATATTGATAAGGCTGATGACTTATTGAAACTAATTATTTGATAACATTTAGTAGTGAGTATTCGAACCTTCTAATTCTGTGTTATTCGCTTCAATTAACCGAATCACATGATTAGTGTTAAGATAGGGTTTCTTTCACTGACCGTCTTCAAACAGCTAATATCAATGTAAAACTCATGGTAACGTAAACACCTTCAAACAAGATCACAGATAAATCATTTTGGTGAGTGGTAAGTTAATTACTTAACGCTTCTACCTTAATCGCATCGCTTAAACTACTTCTGAATACTGATCAGCATTAAGTGTTTTCATATGCTGACTTAGTAAGCATGACCGTGCAATTCTTCTGACATTCCACATGTACAAACTAGTACACCTTGAATGTTACCAAGAGTTAGTTGTATCGTCTCTCCTCTTCATTCTACAGAAGAGTGTATGCCGTTCTGCTCTGATGGAAAGGTCCTATTTGAAGTGATATTTGGCATCATTTTAAGCTGCAACATGAGTTTTCAAAGTAGATCTAATCATATTTTTTTGGACAAAGAAATCTAGACTGATTTCTACTGAAACGCATAGGTTGTACCAACTGATATTCTAAAGTTGTAGTTTGTTGTTGTAATTTAAATGTATATCATATCATTATTCGGTAATCGCAGCTTTGTTACATAGTTCACTAAAATTTAAGAGATCCAGATATTCCATTTTGAAAGTCAGATAATCTGTCAATATTCCACAATGAGCTTTCTCTTACCAAGTAGCTATAAGTTATTAAGAGCAACGTATTAAGATGTGAACCACGGCAGGATACTCATATATGTTTGGATTAAGGTGACAATGGATTTTGAAGGCAAGAAGTATTTGTAAATAACTGCTAATTCATTCACTCAACACATTTTTAGTGTTTTGGTTGAGACAATCTGTTTGAACGTAAACTTAAGGGTAATCTGGGGTTTATATAACTTTCTGCAAAACCATAATGAAACTTATCTTAATACTTAACGTCACTAAGACAATGACCCGGTAGCCAGAAGCACTAAAAACAGACTCAGCGACAACAGCGGACATACTCACACCACCACTGCAGAAGGTTTGAAAGGAAGGAAAGGTATCTGCCGATTGACTGGAAGAAGGTCTACCTTGTCAAACTCCCAAAGAAGGGATACATAAGCCTTTGCAAGAACTGGCGAGGAATCATGCTGCTGTCCCCCCTAGTAAAATATTAAGCCGCATCATCCTGAAGAGACTAAAAGATGCTCTGGATTCAAAATTACGACTGGAACAGGCTGGATTCAGGAAGAGCAAATCATTTGGGGATCAGATTGCAACGTTAAGCATCAATCATCATAGGACAGAGTATAGAATGGTGGTCAACTCTACCTCAACTTTATCGATTTGAAAAGGCCTCCGACAGCGTCTACCGAGAAGTAATTTAGCAGCTGCTGTTTCAACACTACGCTTTCAGTACCACAAACCTTTATCAACCTCATTCAACAACTATATGACGACACCAGATACCAAGTGATCCACAATGGAAAGCTCAGTTATGCCTTTGAAGTGAGGACGGGAGTAAGAAAAGGCTGGTTACTATCACCCATGATCTTGTTGTTGGTGGACTGGATCATGAAGCAAAGTGTGAGGAGCAAGAAGATGGACATACTCTGTTTGATTGATGAACAGACCCCAGAAGAAGATTTGGATTTCGTCCATGATGATTTATGTCAAATGTCTTGCCGCACAAACTCGGAGATGTACAGGTGAAAACTAAGAAGTTGACAGAAGAGGCAGGGGAGGGCAGGGCAGGACAGGACAGCGAAAACTGGACTTGAAGTGAATGTAGAGAAGATGGAGGTGATGAAGATACCCAACGAACAACAGCATGAACAACAAGCACCAATGACGAGTGAGCATGAACGGGATAAACTTAAAGGAAGTAGTGTGTTTCACCTACCTAGGCAGGACAGCATCGTTTCAACTACAGGTGGTGGTGGTGGTGGTGTTGGTGGCACAGACGAGGATGTCAAAGCAGGCAGGATCGGAAAAGGAAGATAGGCGATCGTGCATGAATCTGAAATCAGTGTTGAGATGTAGTGCACTCAGCACAAAGGATGAAGGAGGTGTGGATTTTCAAGACTGATGTCAAGTTATTGCTGCTATATGGTTCAGAAAGTTGTCGTGTCATGAAAAGCACTTGCAACAAACTACAGACATTCATCAGTAACTGCCGCCTATGCTCACTCGATACTGAAGATCAGACCAGATGGCCAGAAAGAACTACCGACAAGGAATTCTGGCTGACGACGAACCAACCAGGAACCTATCACCTAACAAATATGCAGCAGAAGGAAGTGGCTGTGGATTGAACTGGATATGAACTGAGAAGACCGATTGGGGAGATTATGCGTTAAGCCAAGTGGTTGAGTGGAATCCCAAAGAGAAACTCCGAGTTGGACGTCTTAGTCGAGGGTGACATGGAAGAGATCACGTGAGGAATAAGTGGAAGGTTGTGGGAAGTGATGGAGCCAGGTTCGGAAGACTGCGGAGAAGAGAGTGTAATGGAGGCGTGCTAGTGAAGCCCTATGTTGCACTGGGAATGCAAGGGAAAATAATAATAATAATAAAGCAATGTACCAGAGAGAAATAAAAAAACTTACTTTCTTCAGTTTCCATATAAATATCAAAATTTTCATAAATTGTAAAAAATTCTTGTTTTTGTCGTTGAAATTCCAAAAATGATTGTTTATCAGAAAAGCTAAATATTGTACTCAAATTTAATTCAATAAGTTGAAAATTTTCTAGTTTACTAATATAATCTGACATATCCCATACAGTTTCAATTTTAGATAAATCAAATGAGCACACTTTATTCATACTAACAATACGTTGACATTTAATTTGATTCACATTTGAATCCCATTGAGGAGTAAACGTTTCACCTTTTTTATCAATATCTATTGTACATTGAACATTATGTCTATTTATTTTGTTAAATGCAGCATCATAATCACTTTGAATAAATGAATTTTTATATACAGTTTTTGAATTAGTTCCATTGGAAATGTTTAAATACTGTTGCTGGTTAAAATGTTTATAACTTTGATATTGACGGTGTTGTTCCGTGTTATGTGCATAATGGTAACATTTTATTTGCCATAATATAGAAGGAATTAATTTATGCGCGTACTGTACTAAATTATACGCCATATTTTTATCAATCAACCATGTGGTTCGAATCCAGTTTCTTGATTGCCATGATTCAATTAAGTAAATCAAATAGATTAGGAAGATCAAACCACTGATTATCAACATTGAGCTTGTTTTACATAGACACCAAGTATTCTGTTTCATATTGTAATAGGAAAGATCATATCTGTTAGGGGATTTAGGTGAATGTGCAGAGATCATCAGCTGTTGAACACCACACGATGATATTATGATTATGCCTGTTAGTATGATAATAGTCAGACATGCACATCTCCATTCAGTTAATGCATAAAAGATACATTCCTTATAGGTACGCTGAACCGGAACCTGCTTTTAACCGATTAAAAAAAGCTAAGAATAAGTTTTAAATCAAAGGATAAAAGATTTTTTATAGATAGTAGGGAATAATATTTATTCTGATATTTTCAAGAAATAAGATAAAAAGCATCTTAACCCTCAATGATTTCAACCTGAGTCTGTTGAAGTTGACTTATTGAGTCGAAAGTCTTCTAACAGTAATACTTGATATTGAAAACTGAGACATAAATGGAGAGAAGATTTTCGGATCCGAATAAACTTTACAGATAGGAGCTGATCAACGCATCGGTTTTGTGAGCTATGAATGTAACGGTCTTTAACAAATACACTTCCTACTTACATGTTGCACGTTTAGTTAGAAATAAATTCCCATCTCTTTTGCTAACCTTTAATTTTAAGTCATTTTATCATGGTATACTGTAGGTAGAAACTGTGATAAGGTGATCTTGCAGTTGTCAAGTACAAAAATTTCGAATGTCAAATACCAATATATTAATGATTTATATATAAACATGCTTAGTCATTCTACAATATCTTAATTTATTCACACTAATACTAATACCACCAAACGATTTTCAGACTTGTTACAGACCCACAACCCTACGAATTCTACTCAAAGGGTTTTTGTAAATTGTTTAGCACCAAAGTAGGATGGCTTTCAGATATTCATCGGTCTAGAAGTCAAATTTTATATAATATTTCTATGCCTGCATAACTACGTTTTAGGTCGGAAATAGAAGAAACGATTCGCTGTTTACTCATAAGTCTCATCACAATAAACGTTTCAGAATTCATTTGTCTCCATTCTTGTAGATATAAACAATTTATAAGAGAAAATTAATTTCATAAAAAAATATCTGACAACTTAGTGTTTATATTGTAGTGGGTGTTGGTGATAAGAATGGATATAAGTAGTATGTGTTGAGAGGGTGGCAGAAATCATAGGAAATTACCAGCAATGGATAAAGATTTCCACCAAGAGAAAAGCAAGAGACAAAGCAGGCGTATAAAGAGCATATCAAGAAAGAGGTGGAAGTGGAAATGAAGCATATTTTGCAAATGATGGTTTTAGTGCAAGGTATACCATGCTTAACGACTACTGTCCCACTTCCTGCATACCTGTCTTTTGCTTCCTTCAATATGGGCACGAATTACGGAGATTCTGATAAGATACGAAAAGTAACGATAATGTATGAAGGGTAATATGTCGCTTTTTCATGTGGTACTAATTTATCTCAGTCTCTTATGGTGTTTTATATTTTTCCAGATTTCAGCTTACCACGTTCGTATTTTAAGTTGTTATTCATCGTAGACTGACATCAAGTGGAGGAACAAAGGGAACCTGGGAGCACTGGACAGCTGTTTTGTCGTAGTATAGGACTTCTCAGCAGTACACACCCATGACCCCGCCAGGGACCGAACTTGTGACCTTCAGGTTCCGCGGCCAACGCGTTACCATTGAGCCATTGAGTTCCAGTGAGAAGTCATGACTGGTGGAGTCAAAGCCTGATGGTCGTGAGGACAGTTACTCAACGATCATATTGTGTGGCGGTTGCGCTATATCGTGAGCTAACAGAAGTTGAAAATATGGACCATTGGATTCTGACCCGGCGGCTCAATGGTATCGCGTTGGCCACGGAACCTGGAGGTCGTGGGTTCGATTCCTGGTAGTGCAGGGTCGTGGGTGCGTACTGCTGAGGAGCCCCATACTAGGATGAAACAGCTGTCCAGTGCTCCCAGGTTTCCTTTGTTCCTTCAACTGATGTCAGTCTTCGATGAATAACAACTTGAAATATTCCCAAATCTCCACAACTTTCTCAAAATTTCGTATTTGACTTACAGATAATTTTCTTTATTTTGCATTTGCAGCTTTCATATATTTGCCTAATTATAAAACATCATTGTGGCTATCTGAAATAGTTGTGATTTGGAAGGTTATGTTGACATTGGGTAATGATCGAAGGTGAGATGGAAACTTCGTCCCCATCGGGACTCGAACCAGTGACCACTAGGTTTCCGGTCCAGTGCTCTGCAAGCAGACAAAGTGTCTAGACAAAGATTGTTAATCATTAGCTGAGTTGCATTAGGTTGCCTATTCTATGTCAGTCTACTCATTTAATATAGCCCATACTGCAAAGAAGTTTGCTCAGGGGATGGTATTTCAAGCGCAATTTATTAAACGTAACCGCACTAAGATTTCCATAAAACCTTCAAGTAAGTTTTTTTCACTTCAAGCCTTATGATGTTTTTCAGTGGATTTGAATTCGTGATCCCTCTGGAATATGTTGAATAATTAGGATTAAATTCAATTCAAGTGTCATTGTTTCACTGAAACAAATAAGCTCTTCTGCACACTACTTGTCCTAGAAAATTCTGTTATTTCATATGAAGTTAATTTTTGTTCTTCTGACAGTTGTGAGAATCGAGGCTGTTAACCAACACTTGCTTTTTTAACCTCACAGCCGTCCTAGAACTTGAAATAAAGTTTGTCTTCATGTATGTTTATGTACTGAAGTTATCTTAACCCTCGTTTTCTTTGGAAACCTGCATAAAATGCCCAGTGTTCCATCTGTAAATAGTAATACAGAGTGTTACAGTGGCTACTGTAAACTCTTTTCATTTTCTGATTCTTCACAAACTACTAAATAAACTGAAGGAAATTAGTGTTTGATAACAGTGTTTGCTCGATATATTAGGTATGTTTTTGGATTTTGCCTCCTAATTGTCACTTCTCTAACCTCGATTATTTACGCCTATTATTACTACTTTCTTTGAAAATACTAAAAAATCCGCTAACTGTAAATCCTATGATTGATTGGAGTGTGGTGAACATTTTATGAACACTGGCAACTGGATCACTATCATCTTTACACATAATTTTTATAATTTTGCAAGGTAGATTCTTTTCAAACTTTGTTATTGGTATGTTAGGCTGCAAATAAAAAGTTAGAGTATGTGTAAAGTCTACCTATTCTTTCTAATCGCAACACAATAACTGTTGTATTCAATTATCTGCAGTAGCTGTTGTAGGTTGAATAAAGTTTTCAGAAGTATATATATTTTCACGTATTCATCAGCACTTACTGGAGTCAGTGATATGAAACATTCAACTGTCACTTTTTTCATTTATTCATATAATCCATCTTGAAATTTTAATATAATTGAAATTACGTTCTTATTTTGATGTCTTCATTTGATATGCTATTAAAGCTAGTTGTTATACAAAATGTATTATTCACCGGATGTTATACTGAGTACCATTATTTACTCATAGTGTTAGAGAGTCAAGAAGCTCCTCAACATGGTTGTGAAGACAATAGAGGGAAATGTACTTAATCAAATCCTTTAAATGCGACTTATTGTATGAGTTGAATAACTCCCTTTTATATTTGAAATAAGTATTTTTGGTGAAGTGTTATTTACTGTTCAGAGACGAAAATAGGGTTGCCACACCAAGTCTGCGTTTTACTGCAGGTCCTGATCAGTATATGAATTATTTGAATGCATACTTACGATATGAAATAAAACAAAAATTTGCATACTGGGAAAAATCGAAAAAGCCACCTTATATCTTCATGCAGTCACTTGTCGGATGAATGATGGTCATGAAGTCACTTATAAAAGCGAGGTTCTGGTTCGAGAGATAATAATGGGGAAACAGTTCTTGAACATAAATAACAAACGTTATTCATGGATCGTGGCAATCACTGAAATCCAGGATGTGCACTCCGTCCTATTTGGGACTAGTCAGCTGACTGTACCTGATTCCCAGTGAGTGATAATGTTCCCGCCGGGGTTCGGACCCGGGAGTGGTCGCTTCAGAAGCCAGAGCGTCATACACTACACCACCGAGCCACGATAGCCACTTCTTGTGCGACGGGTATAGGTTTAGTCTAATTGTTTTTATATCATACCGTCGTTGATTTGAGTCCAAATCCCGGTGGGAACAACATCACTCACTGGGAGCCGGCAGGTTCATTTAGCTGACGAGTCCCAAATACGATGAAATGAACATCCGGGATTCCACTGCTAGCATATATCCATCATTACTATATAGAATTAAAGCTGGTAATATCGAGGTATCCGCACAGGAGCCCATGTGCTAATAGAGACTGATCGATTCGGTCTTATCAACGACTTTGTGAAATAAAAACAGTTAGACTAATAAATAAAAAACATCATCCGATTCAGTGTTACCTAGGAAATTCTGAACTTTATAGACCTTATTATCGCTGTAATTTCAAAGTTTTAGTTTTATACATCTTGAATTAAGAGATGATACAGTTTTAAGCCATCTGTTAACTTCCCTTGGGAACTAGTTAATATATGTAATGATTTTGTGACTTAGACGGAGTGGGAATTTCAGATACATTTAAGATTCCATTCATAGCCTCCAGGTTGTTAATAAGGATCCTGCAGTTCGATGCATGACAGCTAATTGGGTTCTAGTTTAGCTGTTGTATGAGTTCAGTTTACATCTAACCTATGTGTAACTCTAACGTAAATTCACGTTTTAAATGGATGATTTCTATATTATTCTACTTCTCAAAGAAATCGGTTTTCTATTTTGTGTCAAATCTAAGATTTAAAAAAAATAATTACTGAAAAGTTACAAAATTAGAGAAAGAATAGTAATTATAGTAATTATCTTGAATAAATTTAATTTTACATGGTGTTGTTAAAAAATTTAAGGGAGTGATAGAATTATTGAAAATCAACAAATATTGAAGATTTTAGGAATGATCACATGAATAGTGAATTTCCCTACGTTACAATGCTAGAAACCACTTCAGCAGGTATATACTAAAGAGTGAAACTTTTGTTCATGACCATTTAGTTGTTAACTTTAAAAGACGCTAAGTCGAGGCTTGCTGAATCTATTAAAATCTCTCTATATTTTTGGTGGGAACGAACCAACCTTAAACCTATCACGCAACAAATCTGCACTGGAAGGAAGTGGAGATGGATTGGGCATACACTGAGAAGGGTGACTGAGGACATCAGGCGTCAGGTCAGGCACTCGAGTGGAACCGAGATGGGAAGCGACGAGTTGGGCATCCGAGGTGAGGTTGACGTGGAGGAGATCGTGCGAGGAGGAAATGAGAACTTGTAGGCTGTCGTGGAGTCAGGTTCAAAAGATTTCGGAGAACAGAGTCCACTGGAGACGTGCTGGTGAATCCCTATGTTCCATTAGAAACCCAAAGGACTAATAATAATAATATAATAATTTTCTTTTAATAAATAACATTCTGTTTAGGTGGATTTTTGAAGTAGCTATTTCCAAAGCAGTGAAAATTTTATTAACGACCTTGAACACATAATTCTAAGAAACTTCTTGTATAGAACAACTTATCAAAAGTCAGTGTAGCAACGACATTGAATAATAACACTCCTGAAAGCATGAATATTGCTGTTATTTAAGAAAGATAAGTAACCATAACATATTAAGTCATGTGTTATGATTTCAGTGACTAAATGCAGTAAATTTAGCTCTATGATTTGTAAACACTAACCATTGCAAACATTTGTTTTCATAATGAATAAGCAGCTCTAACTTTATTGGAAATCTAAAGACATGGTAGTATTTAAAGAATTGTGGGACAGTATTCAGGTGTAAATAGACGAATTCAACGCTGAGATAGGAAAGCTGAGCCAATCGGAAGGATATTTTGGAGATATCTATGGAATCTAATAGCAACTAACCTACAACGGTGATCATTTCTTCCAGTTTTTCTCTGTTAATCACTTGTTTTCGGCCTGTACTAACTTCGAGCATGGGAGACATTGTCTTGTATGACGTCTGCCAACTTCAAGCTAATGATAGATGCAGGCGGATCATATCGGAATACTCCACCATTAGAGAAGATCAGCCACTCTTTATGGCCGATCTGTTTGAACTCTGATCACACGTTACTATGAGTTGCAGAAAACAGGCGGTAGTGTAGACTGTGCGTGCTCAATTCCAAGATAAGGATATCAAGTGAGTATTAAGGGAAGAGGTAGCGAAGCGGTGGCCTGTTTGAACCCTGGGCTACCAAAATTTTCTTACAATTTTAAAATTCCTTCAACTCTGATAAAACAGAGTTAAAATGGAAGTGGAAATTTCAGTGCCCGAATGTACATCATATTTCTATCCCTCAGATACCTAGCTTGAGTTGCAGATTCTTGTACTGTTTCAATAAACCGCCTCTACCAAACTTACGCTCACGTTTCTGTCGATTTTATATTATGGACCGGATACCATTCAACAACTAGCTAACTGTTTCACATTATTGCCTTGAATACTGTTGTTATTAGCACCACTTATCTGTGATAACCATTATGTCTGAAAGCATTGTTTTGGAAGTAAGTTTGTTGAAAATTTACATGCTGAGAATTCCATACTGTACCATACATATTGTTTGGAATAAAGTGATTATGATTATTAAAAAATGCATGAACCTGAACGTGACAACACTGCTCATCCTGACGAAGTCTGGTGTGATACTTAGTCTGCCTCAAAAACAGCTGTATCTACAGTTGGTAAGCTACAACCAACATCATCTAAAATGAGTTATTCGAGAAGACTTATTTCACATGGCTCTGATCCCACTTGAGATCGACAGCATGTTAGGCATAAATTGGCCAAGGGTCTTCTAAATGATGGTGAGCAGCAGCTGGTTACGACAGTGAGAAAGATGAAGAAGACAACAGCACTAGGTATTAATCGGCGACTGTTTAGTTTTTTTAGACACCAACCAAAAGAAGATAATGGTTAGTGAGACTATCACCGAAATAGGTGGGATACTGACAATGTCTTATGACAAGCGGCTAAAAGGTTGAACGAAACACTTGAAAGAATAGCCAAACTGGATTTTGGCCACGCCTTGCTTGCCCAATTATCTAGCTTGAACCTGAAAGGGACGGAAATGTCGGTTCTCTAACTCTCCTTGAATTTGAGAAGCCTGCTTTAAACCTGAAACGATGCAAAGCAGTAGGACTTATTGGTTTTCTCATGAGACGTTTTCAGGAAGGAAGCAGAAAATTACTGAGTTGAGTAATGGAAGTCCTTAATATTATATAGGAATCAGAGGTAGTCCTGTTGGACTTATCTATTCCACTGATCATTTCAGTGTAGGTAGGAAGAGGTTTTCTTATGAAAACCAAAGTCAGATCGGTTTGACGAATAACGTGTTCAAGATCCTTAGCTTCATAGTTATGCGATACTTAAGTGGAGCTTGCGAAACGCAAACTTGAGATATCCAGGTAGGTAACAGACCTGAAACAGGACAAATCGACCACATCTTTACTGTACGACAGGCTATGGAACACCAGCATACCTACCAGTGTCTGACACTTGCAATATAACCTGACTTGAAGAAAGCATTCTACTTTGTGTTCTGAAAAGTTTTAAGGCAGTGTCTGATTGTGAAGAGAGTACTGAGCAAGTATGTGACACTAATCGAAGCTCTGTATTAGAACTCACTCAATCGTGTAGGTGCTTGTGGAGAGTTGTCATCTGGAATGAAGATAACCAGTGATTTCCATGCGGGATGCCTACAGTTACTGTTCTTGTTGAAATTTGTGATAGGATTTTCACTGTACATAACCTTAGGTGTGCCTGGTTTCACCGGGATTAATCTACTCTCTTAAGGGCCTCTACTTGACTTTAGGTATGCAGATGGCATTGTTCTAAAAGGTGAAAACGCTGACAAAATGCACAGCCTTCTGAATGCATTGACCATAAATCTGAGTATTTTAAGTATGTTTTGCGTACTTTTCAAATGTATAATGTTTCAGGACTAGTTTGCAACAACTCCCGGTCTAAGAGAAGGAATTAAATTGAGTGAATGCATTAACTACTTCACTTACTTGTGGAGTTACGTCAGCGCAAACAGGCTGGTTTCCAACAAAATCTCAGCTCGGCCACGAAAGACTCGTTTGGCACTTTCTGAATTGCATCGTCTGTGGCACGACTGGTGAGATCCCTGACTGTCTACCAAAGGACGTGTATACTGCACTGTAGTTTGATTTAAACGGCTGTGATATGGCCATTAAAAGTAAGTAGACATGAAGTGACTTCAGATTTTCGATTACATATGTCTTCGTGGCGTTACTCATTTCTGGTGAATTCACCATGTGAGCAACGTTGTGGTCAAGTGAAGGGTATTGGACAAGAAGAGCAAGTCAGCAGGTAAGGTTTTGAAGCTTCATCGACTGAGGTGGCCTGAATATGTGTCGAATGTGCCAAGCCGCTGCTTACCTCAACGTGAGAAGTTACATAAGGCTGAAAGAGGGGTCAGAGTGGCCACACAAGGACATGGCACCAATAAGTACAGTCTTTGACTGTTGGTCTGATTTGTATAGTGAGGTGTAGACTACCTGGCTGAAGTAAACGAGACTTTAGGAATCAGTGGTTGAGAACTGTTGGTGACATGACTGAAAATCGATCACAGTAGTGCAGATTTATTCCCTTTTTCATTTCTTCTAAAGCTTGGACGATCCCATTGGCTTCTATTTTCAAATTTCTGCTCCTTCTTTATCATCCATCATTGTTATTCTGGCAAGCACATGAAAATAAATAAATAAGTTTTTGATTGAAATGTTCGTTCATTACCATCTTCAAGGTTATTATTAAAACTTTATTAATTTCTTTAGTGTCAGTAACATCAATTACTTGTTTTTACTTTAAAACCACTTTGAACTACATTAATTTGTATATACTAGTTAAAAACAGTCTACGTTTTGCAGATATTAAAGGGGATAAATGAGATCAAAGTGATTTTAATTAAATTTCTCTCTTTAAAACTTATTAGCTATATGCAAGTTTTTGACAAGTGGATATCACAATATTGCTGCAAACATGGTTTATTTTTAATGAAAACTCGTTTGAGAGTTATAAATCATCTACAGAAATAGCTTGCTTATTTTTCTGTATTGTTCTAAGCATAAAAACAATCCATCCCTTGACAACTGTGATAACTGAAGTATTATGTTATTAGCAGGCTCTCAGCTTAATGAGTTTACCATCTAATTTGTCAATGATGTGTTAGTCAGCTATTGAATAAAGTTTGAAGGTGTATCATGGCATTTTCAACTCGCAAAATTAATCAAAATTCTACTGTAATCAACCAACTTCTGGTGAGATGTTACGTTTAGCAGCTATTACGAATGTTGCTACCCAGACGTGGACCTATTAGGAAATTTTAGTATGAATTAGTCTGATTTTCATTAGTGATATACTTCTAGATGAGATTTTTTCAAAGTTTTGATGAGAAATCGTGACCAATGGAGCAAACCGAATATGACCTGAGGATAAATACTCAAAGTTAGCACCGGATGATAAAAGGGGAAAAATGTAAACCATTAGATTCCTGCTCAGTGGCTCAATAAAAACATGATCTCCACGAAGCCTGAAGGTCATGCGTCCGATTCCTGTCAGGATCATTGATGCCCACTGCTGAGGAGTTTCATGATAAGACCGAATAGTTGTCCATTACTCTTGGGTTTTCAATGGTTCTGCAGCTGATGTCAGTCTGGGATGAGTTCCAAACAAAAATTAGAAATTTACTAATTTGTGTTGTCAGTAAACCATAAGCTTCCATCACATCAGGAAAATAGTCAAAACGGAGTTAAGTTATGAGCCAGTAACGACTAGCTTTGTATGCTTCAGTTAGTAAATTACAGCGGGCAGCAATTTTTGTGACGCGACGTAATTTATGCCCAAGTTAAAGGTTTTTTGCTGGCAATGCATTTCAGCGAATACTCTTTGGCAGTCAAGTAACTTGACGAAAGTATTTTATTCTATAAATGTTAGCAGCGAGAGCTTAGCATTTCAGATCAATCTAATCCTTCCAGTTTTAGATTCGAATTTCAGGAAACTTGATCAGGAATCATGCCGGTTATCTTTCATGACCACTTTTTAATTTCCAGTAGTTGATGAAAATGTAGCTAGTTTATAGAGAGACATGTTACTCATCGTTTAATAATGACATGAGTGAAAACCTTCGAAACCTAGATTTTAAACCCAAAGTAGCCAGTGCAACCATCTTACGGATGTGGGTAGGTTCATGAATATATGGACATTTTTATTACATAAATAAAGTTTATTACTCTCCCACTTTTGTTGGAAGAAATACTTATAATAAAAGTGATGGCATAGACTTATTTCGAAGCACTATGTTGTTCTAGAAGGTGTAGCTATCTGAATGTCCATAAAAGATTTTTTCGCTAGAGTGCGGAATTGTTGTCTTATCAATCAAACTTTGGAGTCCTCGTTGCTTCCTACTTTTGTGCAAATGATGCGTTATAGAAAAAATACCTAAAGAATGTGTGAAGCCTTACTGCGAAGGGTCTTTTTTGAAGCTATTATTCAGCCAAGATTAAGGTCCGTAGGAGGGAAGACAGTTTAAAGTCAGATGTAGGAAACAGGGAAAAAAAGCAACCAAACATTGAGTCTATGTTGAAAACGTGATATCGAGTGTTCATAGGAGTGTGTGAATAATGTAGCTAACAGATGTTAGCCGATTATTCCTATATATTACAAGTTCAGCAGGAAACTAAATACTTGACCTCTTGAAGGAGATAGAACTTCAAAATTTGCAACATATGGAAAGGTTAATCTACCACAAGATATTAAAAATACTGTGCTGCTTGTTTGAATTCTAGTGGGAAAAACATCGCCCACTCGAAAGCAGGTACATTCAACTAGCCAGTCCCAAACAGGACTAAACGGGCATCCTGGATTCCACTGCTAGCCAATATCCGTCATTAAAATATAAAAAATAAATGACTTGTTAGAGATAGTTCTCGGTAGGTAAAATGTCGATACCTCTTTACACCTTCTATAAATGAATTGATATATGGTAAAGTAACAACGGAATACGTCCCGTATTTATAAGGTGTTCACAATGCAAAACGTTTTTAAATTACTTTTAACCGTATCACTGCCTACAAAACGTTATGATTTGTCGATCCTCCAGACTAAATGCATATTGGTTCACTTGTTTACAAGTTGTATGATACTGAGGATAATAAAATTCGAGAGAAGTACTGACGAATACTGAGAAATGCTACAAGTTAGTGGTGTTCACCTAGACCAATCGGCTAATTAACGAACTCATGAATTTCATTCTACATGAACTCAAAATAAAGCAAGTTCTTTAAAGAAAGGTATAAGAATAAAAAAGATAAGAGACCAACAAGGAGTTTAGATTATTCATTAGTTCAAATAAAAACTGCTTTTCAATATATGAAGGGGTTTTGAATACGTGCCATGTTATTATCTCGAGAAATGGATGTATTCACCTTGGATCACTTCCATGACAAGTTTCAAATTACATGTTTTGAGGTAAATAAGAATGAATATTTAGCTTCTGTCACTTCAGCACTAATGCATCGAATGCTGTGCATAGTGTCTGTCTTTCCATCGACCTAAATTTACCTATGGGATTAAAGATAAAAGCATTTGGAGTTTGTTTACTTAGCCCAACTGATATAGAGTGTAACTCGTTATCTGTTGAAGAGGATAACTGCTGAGGAGTCCCATACTAGAACGAAACAGCTGTCCAGTGCTGCAAGACTTTCATTGGTTCCCCAACTGATGTAAGTCCATGATGAATACTACTTCCAAAAAAATTATTGTTTGGAAAATCAATCAATGTCGAAAGGTATGTGAGCTTTATTCAGCGTATAAAGAGATACTGTTTTCAGCTTTTTTGCTGTGAATATTTGAGAATCTGTCGAATAAACGTTAACTAGCATTGAATACATCTGACAAAGAAAATATTGATGTAGGACCAGGCATTACTGCGTAGCTGCCCATGTTGCCACATTTCATGTCAGCACATTAAGTGCCAAAGTACTAAGATGCTAATTAAAAAAATACAGGAGAAACCAGTCAGTATTGATAGAAAGTCGTCAAAAAAGCGCAAAAGAGAAGTGGTAATACAGTGAATCTCAGTATGATGGTTAAGGTATGGATATATCTTCCCCCCTGAGATCAATTTTGACCCATGTCACCTAGAATCTCCAACTAGTGGTTTTTGTTATCACGCGGACCGTAACCAGGAAATCTACACTCCCCTACATGGCTAGGGTCAAAAACTTCATGTAATGATGCCGTATTTTAGTTTGTCCACCAGTAAACTTTTTCAGTCTGGAACTACTTTAGCTAACAAACTGCAACAAGGTAGTCGGCGACTGGGCCTGCCTATCACATGACGCGGCCACATCCACTTATTTTTCTCTAAACTCCAATGTACGTGTTACTTCTACGCTACTGAATGATCCATCACCTTGATCTAGTTTTTCAAATTCAATTATAACTTCTTCACAGCCTAATTTCAAACATCATGAAGTCCTGATAGATCTGACATAGCAGTTTGTGTTAACTTTGTTGACATCAATAAATCATTGTTTAATAGCTCTTAGAAATAAGGCCTTTTGGCAAATGTAATTAGCTTTACAAAACCTAATTCAACAAATTTATAAGGCCTTAGGAATACAATGTGAATGAAAGTTATTTTTGCTGAAATCGAATACATAGACGATTCTATTAAACATGATTTTGTCAATTTGCAGCTTAATGTAAGAAAATAAGCAAATATATGAAAAAGTTTTTTCAGAGTTACTCGACTTTCAGAACATCCTAAAGTAGAAATTAATTTTCCATATCTGTGACAAGTTCCTTGTCATCATAGCAGGTTATACATCCTGCTTAAAACAGAGATTTGTAAAATCTAGCTTTAAAGTTGCATACATTTCTCTGTTGGAAGCTTTTTCTTCTCACCTGATAATAAATTTGACGTAGACAACAAAATTAACAACAGTTATCTTGGATGTATCTTTTTTACAAAGGTATTTAGTGAAACAGCTGCTATCAACAGCAGTCAGAGATTTAGTGTATGGTGAAATTTTTTTCATAATGTACTGTAATATGTATTGGGTATTTAAAATTGATGGCACTCTGCCAATATTGCACTGAAGCAGATTAATCATATATGATGGGTACTATAAAATTTCACTGTAGCTTATATTTTTCTAGAAAATTTAGTTCACTATTTTTAAATAACTGAATCCAACTACATGAACATTGGCTATCGATGAACCGTCATAACATATTTTTGCTCATATCAATGCTTACGGACAATTGTGGACATGAATTTGACTGGGAAGACGTGGAAATCCTAGATAAAGGAAAAACAAAGAATGCCGGGAAGTTTTCAGAAGCTTGGCATCCAGGTCAGTCAGCGATCAGCAGAGATACTGACAGTCATCCAATCCAACAATCAATAACAAGCAAAAGATAGGCCAGAGTTCACTTCAGTGGGAAAACCAGTCGAAATTAATATAGAGACAATAGCAAGACTGGTAGAAAAAACCAATCACACAGAAGGCCATTAGGACAAGTTACTCAGCAACGTGCGGAGAAAACTCCTGAGCTGACTTCTTCCTGAAGTTTGTGCTGATGATGTTGTGCAGAATGTCAATGAAAGTTTCACAATTAAATCATCCAGCTCAGACAACACAACATCATCAAAACAATCAGATAAAACGGAA